GATTGAAAATATTTCATAAAGATGTTCTCACATACATCAAACCAAAAGCGGAAAGCAAAGTAGATGCAATTTTCTTCAGACAATTAAATTTCTCCAATTACACACAAAAACTGTCGATCTTTTCATAATTCTGAAGGTGTAAGTCCAATAGTTTCCATTTCAGAATTATACACTTCCACATCCACTCAAAAATTGATCAATTTGTAGAGTAATTGAGAGTGTTACTAAGGATGTACCGTGTGCCAGATGTGACATGCCTGCCATAGATTACCAATGCCTGGTATATAATATATGTTTTTTAAGACAACTTGTGAAGGCTTAATTTGAAGAAATTCCTTTTGTGAGAGATTCAAATATTAATTTTATTGCAACCACAGGTATGAGCAAGTGAAGAAACAGCCTTTTAAGTTACATAATTTTTTTACTTACTACGGATGGAACTATCAAGTCTTTTTTTTTTCGGCTTTGTGAACCCCGTATCGAGAAAGAACATTCTACAACTTTAAATGCTTGCTCAATGGATAAAAATTGTCATTATGTCATTCATTGACATCATTCCAGGAAAACATCAGATACGCGACAGTAAAAACCATAGTTGATAAAAAAAATTGTTTATTTATTTATTTTTTTAAATCTGTTAACGCGATGTTCTTAAGAGCTTAGGTTTAAAATATATTTAATGAAACATACGTGAATATATCCAAATGATATTTGTTCATCCTGAATGTCATGAAAATTGAACAAATAATACAAATTTTTGCATTTTTGTGTGTGAGTTTCATATTCCCTAAAATCAACACACAAAAATTTGTTGATCTGTGCCGGCTCTTTTAGTATAAAATCCTCCTAAATCTCTTGAATATGTATACGTTTATATCCTTTTACATTTCATTCTTAATTATTCGAGCAATATTAACAAAAATTACTTCACAATCTCATTTAAAGTATTACACTTGCTTACAAATTGAATACGAATTTTTGCAAGCATTTGCGAGAATGAATTTTTTTTGTGTGTAATTTCAAGCAACTATAAATTTCTCTGAAAATAAAAGTACTTTCAAAATCACACATTATTCATATGCACTTCGCTTAAAGTAAATTACAGAAACAGTGTGGGAAAAGACACCTCACTTTATCCCCTAGAAACAGGACATCCCAAAGTAGATTACCGGAATTTTTTATGAAAAAAAGGCCTTTGAGAGAAACCCCGATTGCTTATTCTGAGAAAGCATAAACTATTCTATAGAACAGATGCAGCAAGGCGGAAGGACTAAAATATCTTAAGAAAATAATTCTCCTAAAGAGTGGGAGAGAGAAAAAAACCCGATTTTTCCTTCCCAGTATCATCCGTTATCTATGATAGGTCGTCGTAAACAAACCGTTTAGCTATCCAAAGACTAAGGGATATGCATCTTCTTTATTGGTTATGCACGACAACGCTAACTTGTTCTTTTTAGAGGACCTAACTATGTCATGTGTAATACCGTCGTAATACTGTCTGGGTTCCATGACTCAGTTTTGCGTGTTCTAATGATTTTTATCCATTGTTATTTGTAAACATAAAGCAATCTCATACGTTATTGTGTAGGAAACCTATAGGTTTTAAAACAACTTCCGTAATTTGGTGTAACGAAAGTAAGAAAGCTCTCGTGTAAGATCACTCGAATGATGTAAATAAATGTCTTTTATATACTTCCTATTTTTGAAATATTAGTAGTACGTCATTTTCAATGTCTTCATATTCTTACCTATACGTTTCTTTCGAGGTCTTCGTATTCCATTGGATCATAATAATGTAAACTTACCTAATTTAAGAGGACATGTGCGATTTATAAACAATCTTTGATTTAATGATTTTTACAATTTTTTTTGCTTGTTAACCTAGGTATATGGAACACCTAAAACAGTTTTTGTGCTCAAAATACTATAAAAGACTGGTCATTTTATTTTTTAAAGAAAAGTTTTAAAATTCATAACGGGTCTCTAAAATGCTACTCCTCTGACACAATAATTCACGTACACTAATTAAATTTGATTTACAAATACGTCAAGTTATGTATGACAAAAATTGGTATGGATTTTCTGTTAGCACGATTATAATATATTTGTAAAATATTTTTTTTCTGAATGCTTATTGAAAATTCATTGAAAAATGTGAAAATTCGAAAGTCAACTATTTTTTAAAAAATATATAGCTTTGATTCAAAAATGCATACCAATTTTTGATGTATGTACTAATAGCAATAGGTAGAAAAAATTTCAAAGAATTTGGAACAATAGAAAAATTGTCTTAGCAATTTAAATCAAGATAAATGACTTTTTTTTTTCTGAGATAAATCCGTTTCAAGTTTTTGTTTGCCATTGGAATGTGAATAAAAACAAACATAAAATTTATCATAACTCTGAATTTTTTTTTTTAACTTAGAGCTTTCGTATTTTTGAGATTTTATAAAATTATATAAAAAAATAACTCAAGCTAAAAAAATTTATTTGAATTTTTGACCGATTTTCGTCAATCGAATCCCCGTACTGTGTGTGTGTGTGTTCCCGTATAATTTATATAATCTTAACTTATACCTATAATTTAACTTAAGCTTAATTTACCTAATTTAACGTAAACATAACTTACTTGATTTAACTTAAATCTTTTACTACCTAAACTTAATTTACATAATATACATTAGGATCACGATAATGTTAAACTTAGCTCACCAGCAAAACTGAAATCGAATGTTGAATGTGTTGAAATAAGTATTGAAACAGATTTAAAGAAAAATATGTGCGTTTTGCGTTTATATAGACTGAATAAAGCTTCTTAATACTTAAATTACATACCGAATTCTAAATCTCATAACTGCAAGTCTTTTTGAAAATTAAAAACAACATTTATCAAGATTGAAATCCAGTAATAAACATGTAGTTTCTTAAAAGTTAGTCAAATAAAACTAATGTTTAACTAGTGGACTAATAATTTTGATTCAAATTAGGGATTAAAAAATTGTTTAATCCATATATTAACTTTTTAATCATTTTTAACTTTGAATTAAGAGAAAAACTAATTAAACAAATGCTACTTTTTAAAACATTTTTAAATAATAATTTCAAGCATTATTAGAAAGCTATTTTAGAGCCCAGGCTCAAATGTGAGAAATTCTCAACTGAATTCATGTATTATAATCACTACATTAACAAAGTAAGTAATTCTGGATTTTTTCATTATTTAATTTTATTGTATCTACATTTTTAAAGAATTTATAAATTCCCAATACAAATTTTGAAAGAAGAAAAGATTCAAAATCAGTATTGAGATCGCACACAGAGTTTGTAATTTGCCTTCTAAAATTTCCCATTGTCTATTTTAGCGAGTTAGAGTTAATGAAATAGATAATTTAAATTTATTTTCGTCGCTATTATTCCCGAGGGGGAAATGATAGCGAAAAGTTAATTGAAAATAGTGCTCGGTCGTGTCAGAAAAAATAATAAAAAGAAATGGTTTTAAAAAAAAAGGAAAAGAAAAATGCAAGAAAGGGGATAAAGAATTCGAAGGGGGGAAGCGGGATATAAAAACCAAGCAATATAGAGGGAGGGAGAATCCGTAGCAGACGGTTTTAGCAGCAGAGAGAGAGAGAGAGAGAGAGAGAGTAGACTTTTTTTTGTCCCTTTGGAGAAGATGGCTGTGATAAAAAAACTCTGATACTAAACTTTTCCTTTTTATGGTCATTTAAAGGTAGAAACGAATTGCATTTACACTTCGATAACATGTTAGCTAACTACTTGATGTTCATGTTTAGGTTTTACAGTCAAATGACTTCGATAAAATGCTACGAAAATATTTTAATTCGATTTCATTTGATTAGATAACTGAGTGTGTGAGTAAGTCTATATTAACCTCTCACTATAAAGCTACACGAAGACTATTGGCAACGGACCTCGTAATTTTGAACCATGGTCAAGTGACGAGGTGGACACCTGAGCTGCTACTCATGACACGCAAGCCACGAGTTCGTTACCTTGATCACTAGGCTACCACAGCCATTTCGACAACTGCTAAAGTGGAACAATGCCAATGAATTCAATAAAATAGTCTTATCAATATATGTCAGTTTTATTCATTCATTTAAATTCGTTTTTAACAATTCGTGTCATAACTTTTGGTAAAAGAACATAAGTAGTGATTTTTCTTGAATGCGTGCATCGTTTATATGCTTAATTTTATTGCTTCATTTGAAAATAACAACACATTTTAAAACTACTTTTAATTTGTATTATAGATAAAAATCATGTAGATTTATGTAAATGGGGAATTTCCTGTAATGAATACATTTTTACTTTTAAAAAAATAAGAACTAAAAAGCGATTTAAAAAAGTATTTTTTTTTAATATTTTTTATTTTTTTTTCAAAAATTAGGTTTCTGATATGTTCAGACATTCTTACAGCAAAAGAATAATACACACTAAGGATGACCTAGAAATTGATCGCGAAACAATTTTTGGCTGATCATTTCCAATAGAAGATTTCAAAGTGCAATCACAACTTAACCGTGACGGATTAACTCAGCACCAAATCATTGCAATCCTTATATGCGAGCTCATACAATCTTCACGCGTAGCGTTGAATGATAAAGAAATATGTTTTCTCAACTATAAACTTTCTATCAACCAACTACAAACCTTTCAATTAACCAACTGCAAAAAAAACCCTCTATATTGAAAACCGCGTATTGCTTTGACAGCTTTTCTAGGATGAATCATCTGATTTCCTGATTTTGGAAAATTTTAAAGATATTGAGTAGCATTTTTTGTCCTTTTTCTTATTGACAAAGCTTTAAATATAAAACATATTTATGCAAACAAATTTGTCACTTGAATTATAAAAATCAAGCACAGTTCTAACGCGAGATTTATTTAAAAAAAAAAAAAAAAAAAAAAAACGGTATAAAGCAAACGAATTTATTGAAAAAAGCTCTTCACACAAAGTCATTACTTCTCAGAAACTAGACCATCCCAGGTGGAATTCGAACCCACGACCTCTGGATTAGAAGTCCAATGCGCTGTTCATTACGCTACAGGAACACAACGAATGATTTTCCTATCTATATATGCTGTTAAACAATTATTTTTGTTTGTTACAATTTATTCATTTTTTATTTAATTAATGAATTAATATTTGAAAAAATTGTATAAACATCAAGTGTTATCCACTATGAGTTTAAGAAAATGTATTTTTGAACTTAAATAAATGGATGAATAGAAAGTGTATAATATATTATATATATATATAAATATAAAGGGTATTTTTTTAGAGGTATAGAACTTTAAATTGCAATAAAACAACGATGTATTATTCGATTGACATGAATTTTTTTTATTCGAAAGATAATTTTGTGGCATTACATTTTAAATATGATTTCTGGCATAGGACTACCACGGCTGGCTCGGATGTAGTCCAATCTGGACGTCCAATTTTCGATGACTTTTTCCAACATTTGTGGCCGTATATCGGCAGTAACACGGCGAATGTTGTCTTCCAAATGGTCAAGCGTTTGTGGCTTATCCGCATAGACCAATGACTGTACATAGCCCCACAGAAAATAGTCTAGCGGTGTTAAATCACAAGATCTTGGAGGCCAATTCACAGGTCCAAAACGTGAAATTAGGCGGTCACCAAACGTGTCTTTCAATAAATCGATTGTGGCACGAGCTGTGTGACATGTTGCGCCGTCTTGATGAAACCACAGCTCCTGGACATCATGATTGTTCAATTCAGGAATGAAAAAGTTAGTAATCATGGCTCTATACCGATCACCATTGACTGTAACGTTGTGGCCTTGATCGTTTTTGAAGAAGGATTCCACCAGCCCATAAAGTGCACCAAACAGTCAGTTTTTCTCTGGATGTAAGGGTGTTTCGACATACACTTGTAGATTAGCTTCACTCTAAATGCGGCAGTTGTGTTTGTTGACGCAGCCATTCAACCAGAAGTGCGCTTCATCGCTATACAAAATTCGCTTATGAAAATCGACCATTATTTTCGAAATAAAATTGACAATTTGAAAGCGTTCAGGCGTGAGTCTGTTCATGATGAATTGCCAAACCAAACTGAGAATAAATCCCTTGACAGCTGTTAAATCGGTCGCCATCTTGGAAAGTAATGCCAAATTAAACTTCTATACCTGGAAAAAAAACACTCTCTCTCTCTATATATATATTATTAACGATTGTGTGTGTGAAAATTTGAACACAAGATATATATATATATATATATATATAGGGAAAGAGTGAACTAATAGTAGTAATTGGAAAAATACGATAGAGCTTTAATTTATTTCATTAGTAAGTATAATTAGATAAACAGTTGAAATAAGCAAAACATTTGTTGTTTGTTCGTAGTTAATAATAAGAATAACTTCAAAAGTTTTCAGAAAAAATAATAACTACTGCTCAATTTCAAATATAATCAGAATATTTTGAATGAATAGAGTATAATAAATGAGTAGAATATACCTTTGGATAGTTAAAAAGAATTTTTAAAAAATTCAGATTTTAACGGGAATTAATTCAAATATCAAACCAACAATTATTTTTGCTTCTGTAAAAAACTCGAAACAGCTTACAAGGAATATGTGAGCTTTCTTTTTATAAGATAACCTTTCTAACTCAAAACATAAACGTTTATTAGGAATATAGTCAAGAAAAAGGAAAGTTCGAGACAAGAAAACCAAAATATGGTATTGAAATGAATTATCCAATACATCATCTTTCCATCTGAAAATAATTTTCTTGTCTTTATCACGTTGACTCATTTTTCAATGTCACTGTCAAACCCATTTAGGAATTCAATCCACAGTGATGGGGCCCGACAAAATTGGGATTCTCAGAAAATCTATCGGAGCAAAGAATGCTTTATGAATTTTAGTACGCTGCTTCAAATCATAAAATATAAGTTATTAAATGAGAGGAAAATAACTCGAATCTTATATATCTATGTATAGAATAAAATGTATTCATACCATTTTTCTGAAAGGTTAGATGACATACAGTATATTATAATCCAAATACAGTTTCATTTGTTATTAAAAATAAAAAGGACAGTTAAAAAAATAGTTTGTTTGTAATTAACTGCGAAATAAGCTTTGCTTTTCTCATCGAAAAAACAACAGAGGAACTCTTGCATGTACACAATGTTAACAAATAGATAACTTGTATTAGATTGTGAGCTTTAGATCTTTCCTCAGAAGAACTGAAGTATATTTATAAAAGGAAGCTTTTACAATTTTCGATTAATAAGTAAAAAATATATATTTCGCCTATGCATAGAGAAAATGGAAGTAAATTATTTGCATTGCAAAGTATAACATAGATTGTTTTTTGAAAAGATTCTAGTTTCTGAAAAGAAAATCTTTAAGCAAATTTTCCTATATGGCAGAAAATTATTTATCGTAGAAAGTTTGTGAGATTAACAAGTAAAAGAAGATATATGAAGAATTGCAAAAAAACAACAACATTTATTAGTGATTTTTACGAAATAAGAATTAAATACTGTATTTATTCGAATCTCTAAGCCATCCACCAAATTTCCAAGATGTTTTTGTGAAAAAATGAAAGGAATATTGTTAAAAAAAGCTCTCTCTCTCTCTCTACATATACTATATATGTAGTACATATATCAGGGTTGAGTGAACTTCCAGGATACGGGCTACTTTTAATGTTTTTGACACTAGAACTCGGGGATTCCACCGATGTCCTTTTGACACCGCAATATAAAATATATAAAGTAATTATTTTAATTAAATAATTGCAGTAAAGTTTAGTTTTAAGACTTTTTAATATCCTTTCACGTAATTATCGTATATTATGACCCCTTATATCCTAAAAAACTGACGTTGAGATTATGTTTCGCGAAGCTTGTTGGACCACTGCTTTATCGCAAAACATTTCGAGTCGCAAATCTGCCAGGAACATTACTATTATGTGGTATCCATTTTGTGCCATCCCAAGCGACATATATATCAGGATTTACTGAAATATTATCAATTACATCTGCATTTTCTTCAGATTCTTCGCAGTCACTTTCATTCAATCTTATATCTTCATCGGAATCTAAATTAGAGCCAATTCATTCTCAGAAAGCTCTGGCAGCAAATTAGCAATTTCATCAAGTCTTAGATCTTTTCTAAGAGCCATTGTTTAATGGTGTCTGCTCCGCATTAAGTTCGAAAATCAGATGAATTTTTTTATGAGCTGATTAACAAATATTATGTAACAAAACACTTAGATACAACAATTTTAGAATAATTGATTCACATTTCCACTGTGCACTCAATAACACTGTATACAAGGTCAAAAAATGAGCGATAGAAATTTGGGAAGTTTGTTTTACTAATGGTATCCAATTAGTGGACTATATTTTGTTGAACGACAGCTTTTTATACTGATAAATTGCTTTGGTGTCGAAATGACACCAGCGGACGTAGTAATATCACTACTAATTAACCTAGAACCACAAAACTTTTTTCTGTATAATCACCACGGAAAATGATTAAAAGTCAGGAAAAATTTTCAAATTCGCTGTAAAAATGTGGAAAGAAGAACAAAGTAAACAGACTCCGGTGTCAAATTGACACCGACAGATGTTCTAGAGTTAAAGTGTTACAATCCACCCAGTGGCGTAAAGGTGTGTCAATTTTGTATTAAAATTGTATGTTTTCTTTTCTTAACGCTTGTTTTCCATATTGTACCTCTTTTCTTACAACATGACAGATTACTATTTTTATTACAAAAACATAAGCAACACAAAATTGTCCAGTTGAATGCTTGAACAACTATCATACAGTGCTAGATAGTGGAGTGTGAGTGTATTAAATACAGTGAGCAGAGAACATACGTGAACTAATGAATCCTAAGCCGACGTATGTTCTTACAATTGTTCTATGCCGATTCTCTTGCCATCGCAGAACATCACATCAACTCGAGATCTCAATGCTGTGGAAGCGCAGGGTGTGAGATAATGTATTAATAGCCAATCCCATGCCATCGTGGGAATAGCTGATCATGAACATTTATTCTCACCTGCAGGCGGCTTGTGGAGAAAAATTCATTTCTACGGATGGCATTACAATGATCGCTTTTTCCCTCTAAGGCGACAGTGAAGGTGTTAGCGCCATCATTCACTTCCAGTGAAGGTACACGTGTCGTCTACACATTTATCGAATCATTTGCTTAAGTAAACACAGTCGCATCGATTGCATAAAGTCAATAATCCAGTCTAGTTAGCGTCAGTGTTCCATAGACATGTTTCTTTTAGTAAGTGCGTCTTAGGATTCACCCCAAATTGCCTTGGCGGTCCACCGGTCAATCGCCACACCTGAAACACCATTCCTGATCTCTATCCTATATTTACGAAATTTAAAAGAAAATTTTAATGGGTCCTAATAAGAAGTGAATAAATATTTTACCAGTGTTAAAAACTTTTGAATACGTACATGAACCTGTCATTGCTCTAACCGTCAGTGTCATGTTCAATTTCTCCCATTCAACGAATTTTTTCACTTTCTATTCTCAGCCGCACCTGATTTTCTTTAGCAATAATATTGGGAAAAAAGTGCAGCTCACACACAAGTTCGAACAAATAGAATAATATTCATATATAAATTTCAGACTAGTTCGTTGAATTAAAAAAGATGTATGTTTGTATATTTAGCTTCAAATCCTGATAACAATATTTTCAATAATTAATATTTTAATATTTTTTTCTTATTATTTGTTGCTATGCTTTCGGCACACTTTCTGTGCGTAATTAACGATTCTAAATTGTTTTATGTGATTTTTTTAGCTAACATCTTGAATATTTTAAAGGAAATTATTTAGTTTAAAAGACACCGAAAAAAACTTAATTATGAGAGTATCGAATAAATTAAATTGTATAAATTGGGGCCGATACAGCACAAAGCCACATGTTTGTATTCATAATTTATTAATTCGAAAGTTTCACACATTCGATATTCATATATATTTTCCATATACTTTGAAAATTAGTTGCACATTATTGCATGAAATCTCAACTAAAATTGTTT